ACCGCATGTGCATTGTAACGTGTTCCCTTTGGTCTGTTTCTGTGTGGGGTGGGTTGGTTCGTCTTTTTGCTGTATTGGAGTCTTACCGCATGTGCATTTTTATGGCCTGCTTTGCTCACACAGCGTTGTGTCTTCCACCAGCTCATTTGATCCTCACATCCATCCGCCAGGAGAGAAGTGATTGTGTTGTGAGATGTCCCTGGTGTGAGGTCCAAAGACTGGATTCACAGTCCAGACTGCTGCTCTCTAGCTGTAACTGGAAGATTATGGACACCTTCTGAGCCTCAGTTTCCTCTCTCGTAAAACGGAGCTCTGTGCTGAAGGATTAAATTAGTAAAGCAATGCACCTGCTTTAGCACTACACCTGGCGCGCAGTAGGTGCTCGGTCCATATTAGAGCAGAGGTGCAGAGCACCAGGTTGATAATCAATATAATATTAAAGCTCAAGGAAGACATCTATTTGGTCCAGAGTCCAATAGACTCTGACGTTTTATGTCTGACCTCATACCTGCTGTGCTTTCCACAGTACCCAGTGTGGTTGGTAAATGGCAATGTTACCTAGGTCCTATCCGTTGAGCACTGTGATGGCCACAGGTGACCTGGGGATATAGCTGCCATTGAACCACGTTGGTACCATGAAGTTCATAGATGGAGGCGCCTTATCCCCCGGGACTGCTGGTAGACCCTGCCAGCTAGGGCAGCCATACTTTGGTAGCTCTAGGAGCATTTTCATTGGTCACTGTTCCCTTTCTTAACATGCTGTGGCTCTGAATGTATCCAACAGAGTCTTGCTGGGCACTCAAGATGCACTAGGTGTTCTGGGTTCAGGGGATTCAGAGATGGATGGGATACAGTTCCTGCCTTTAGGAGCCCACGCTATGGGCGCTTTCCAGAAAATGGCTCTTGGAGCTATTTACCTTGGATTGTCATTTTCCCCAACTCAAGGGTACTGCCAGTGTAAGGCTAAGGGGGAAGAGAGAACCCCGTAACACATGCATTTCTCGTGTTCTGGTCACTAATTTCCTTTCTCATGTGATGAGGATAAACTTTTTCGAAACTTCATCAAAGAAAGACCCTTTGCTCCACACGCAGGTGTCTGGCCGTGCTCACACACGGCCATGCATACACATCCTCACAGGCTCCCTCTCTCTCTTCACTGGACTGGAAGCCATGCACTCTTATCAGCATATTAAAAATACAACACAAAACAAATACCCACGAAACAGCCCTGCTTTTGCAAAGAACTTGACAGACATTTATTCTCTAAGGGGCAGTAATTACTTGTTTTCTTCAGCAGGTGGGTGAGAAAGGGAAGGTGGGTGTCGGTTGGTTCCGTTTCCTCCTGGCAGACAACACTGCAACTTCCAGGCATATTTGAGTTCAAGGAGAAAGACACTGGGACTCTCTCTGACACTCATGAAACAGAAGGTGACCGAGCCTTATCCAGCCCCTGTTCCCCTGCCCTCCAGACCCTTGCCATGCCGTCTCCTTCAGGTGACGTTTCAGCACACGTCCACCTAGGTGTCTCCGGGAGCCCAGGAATCTCCCTTTCCTAATTGTGATCACAACCACGATAATAGATGACATTGTTGAGTCACTCCAAACACTGCGCTCTTCATATGCCGCATCTCCTGGAATCCTCCTGCCATCCCCTGAGGTAGCTACTGTTATTATCTCCATTTTACAGGTGAGGAAATTGAGGCTCAGAAGGGTTAAATGATTCACCCACTCTCCCAAGATTTCACGGACAGGACTGGGATCGAAGCAGTAACCTCAGGCCCTGTCCTGTGTCTGTTTCTTGACCTGAGGCTAAACAAGCATCTTTTCTGGAGAGGCAGCTTGGTGGTCCAGGGACAGAGACCCAAGTTCGACCTCCCTGGGTGATCTCAAGATCTCCAAACAGTTTCCTCCACTGTCAAGTGAGGGTTTGACACATGCCTTACTGGATGGCTCTAAGGACAAGAAGTCAAGCACACCTAGCACCTTGCACGGAGCCCAACACATGCTTGTTTGCTGGACACAACCTTTTCAGCTGTCACAGAACCTCAAACTGCAAATATAGGAGCCAATGATGGGCGTAAGAATGACAAGCTTCTATGCATAACGTTAGAGAATACAAAAGGGAAATGACACGGACAGACCTTAACTTCAGTGACCGCAGCCTTCTTGTGTGTGGCAGGTATTTCTCATGCACACAGCACACGCGTATTGAGCACCTGTCCTGCAGTGGGCACGGTGCTGGGGACAATGGTGAAGTGTCACAGTCTCGCCAGGGAAGTTGCTCTTAAACAGTTTCAGTTCAAACTAGCAAGTGCTTTGGTGGAATTACGGGTTCAGTGCTCTTAGAGCACGGAGAAGAAATGGAGTAGCCCTACCTGGCAGGGCCCATAAAGGTTTCACAGAGAAGGTACCATTTAAGCTGAATCTTGAAGGTCAATAGAAAGTCCACAGGTGGGGAAGAGTGGGTGAGGTGAGGGAGGGTGTGGCAGAGAGGGAAGATGGGGCAAGTCACAGAGGCGTGGGAGGGAATGCAGGTTTGGGGAGCAGAGGGAAGACCGTTGGTGTAAGGCAGAGTATGTGGGGATTGATGGGTCAGAGAGAGAGTATACGATTGTCAGTGAGGATCTGGGTTTAGCCCTGCAGGCCAGAAGGCGTCACCTGGCTCCTAGGATCTTAGGTGGAATGAGAGTTCCAGCTCCTAGCCTTATATCAAGTAGTTATCCTGCTGGCATAGAGGGAATCTTCAAATAGGCAAGGACATCAAACTGGACTTGAAAAGCTGAAGGGTATCCCTGATCGCATCCTTCTTAAAGGTTAAAAATGTCAAAGATAAAAAAAAAAAAAAAAAATGTCAAAGATAGCTGAAAACGTCTCATAGATCACTTGGATCACAACCAGTTCCCCGAGTGGCCTTTGGGAACATATGGGTGCATTTGGAGTTGTACACAGCCGTCTGGAGAATCCTGCGAACATTTATTGGGCTGGGGCCCTGGAAACCAACCGCCCTGTGGGACAGACTCACCCAGTGAAAAGGTACCCCACACAAAATGCCAATGACACTGCCTGTTATCTAGTGGTCCAAACCCCTAAAACCTCAGTGGTGTGCCGTGAGAAGTGTTTATGGATGCAGCTCTACTGACCTCGGCCAGGCTTGCTCACGTGATAGGCAGCTGGGGAGACTCCACTCTGCTCCAGCTGTCTCTCTTCCCCCAGCAGGCTAGCCAGGCATTTTCCCAAGAAGCATGCACTTCCTCTCGAGCCCTAGCCTCAGGATTGGGGCTTTCGCCTCCATTCTGTCTGCCAAAGCAAGTCACAGGTCTGGCCCAGATTCAAGGATTAGAGACATCGGCTTTGCCTCTGTAGTGGGCAGCACCAAAGGTCACATGACAAAGGGGAAGGATATGGGGGAGGGGGCAGTGAAGAAACTGGAGCATTTAATGCAGTCAGCTGTCAGCACACATCTTGAGAAATAATATCAGAGCTTAACCTGTCAAGGCAGTGGTCTTTTTTTTTAATAAATTTATTAAAAAAAAACAAAATATTAAACAAAAAAGAAAAAAGTTTTTTTTCAGAAATACAGACAGAAAAATTATAAGATCAGCATGGTCTTAATATAAAGCAAACAAAAATTTACCATGATTTTGAACTACTGGTAGAGAATAAAGAAGGAAAATCCATTTGACCTTAACAGTAAAATCATTGGAACTGGAGACAAAAGAATAATCAGAGCACATCACCTAGTTCAAAGCAGTGGTCTTAACTGATAGGTCATAAAGGAGTGAGTGAATATATTTTCTTGTTGGTTTAGAGATTTTATATATCTTCTTTTTGGAAAAATGTTCTGTTGCATTCAGCTCTTAATAACTCTAGTCATGTAAAGTTTAATCTATATTCAACTATATGTCATCATGGGATGGACAAGGTTCATGTAACAGAAGAAATATTGGAAGCAACCATGTGACCTTTGGCAAATTATTATTTTCTTTAAATACGTTTTATTGAAATACAGTTTGCATATGATAAATCCACCCGTTCTGAGTGTACATGTATTTTCACAAACGTGTACACCCAGATAACCATCACTCTGAGCATGACGTAAGACATTGCCATCACCCGAAAAAGTCCTCTCCTGCCTATTCCCAGCCCATTCATTCTGCTACCGCACGTCCACTGATTGAATTTCCGTAACTGTCGAAGTTCTTTTACTTGTTCGTTGCAATTTTTCACCTATAAGGCAGCACAGTCAGTCCCACCTGCCTGGGGGGGATACTGTGTATCGGCAGATCTGGAAACCTGTATATCTGCACCTGCTTATGTGAAGTGCTAAGTTCCTAGTTCCCTGTTAGCAGGACAGCTCACTCTTTCGCTAGTTGGGTAGGAAGGAGAATAGGAGAGGTAAGTAAAGAACTCCTACAAGCAGATTAATAAAGTAAAAGATGTCAGAGGCTTCGAAGAGAGGGAGAAGAAGAGTGGGTACTGAGACTGATTAAACTTGGATGAAATGAAAAGAAAAGATGTTTTGTTTCATTTACGGGTTTGCGTTTTCTTTCCAATACCTGGTACAGAGGTTGAAATCTGTAGCTCTGGAGAGAGAAAAGCACCAGGTCACACAAAGGTACTGCTCCATTTGGTTCCCGTTACTCTGTTCATAGATGACAGTTCCCCCCTGTTATTTGAAATTGTTGTGCTGGGTCATGAAGGAAAACGTTTTTTGTTTTGTATAAGGACTTTGTGGTTGCTTATGCATTTGTCAGTGCCGCCACCGTCACTGTTGGCTCAGAGCATCTCATTCCTCAGAGGGTGAGGCAGCTGCCCTTTATCATCACCTCTTTGAAATCAGATTAAATTGCAGAGGAAAATGAAAACAGGATCCTGTCCTTCTCTGATTGGCCCATCAGTAAGGTCCGATGGGTAACAAACTCAGGGGAGGACAGGGCACAACAGACAGGCCCCCTCGGGGATTTTCTTCTTGTTTCCAAACCCTCTTGCCTACCTTTCAGCTCCAGAAGCAGCTCTCTGAGCTGGATGAGGACGACTTGTGTTATGAGTTCCGGCGAGAGCGTTTCACCGTCCACCGAACCCACCTGTACTTCTTGCATTACGAGTATGAGCCCACTTCAGACAACACGGACGTCACCCTGGTTGCTCAGCTCTCCATGGACAGGTAAGCAGACGGGTCCCCACCCTCCACACAGTCCCCTTGCCGCTGCCCTTCACCCAGTCGAATGGAGAAGGGAGAGGTGGCCTCACAGGCTTAGAACATTGAAGCCTGATAAGATAGGGCTTATGTCTCATCCCCTCTCCAGCACTGAGAACCACGGGCTCCTGTCTCCTGATGGTGCTGGTTGTTTGTGAGGGTGAAGAATTGATTCTAAAAAAATAGACCTCTACTCACATTACCTCAAGGAAAGGGGGAGTGTATTATAGGGAAACACACGGACTGGACCCACAGTTGCTGCTGGAAAGCAATTCTGTTTGTTTTCCTCATTTACGTGTTGATGCAAGCATCACTCCTGGAGCCTTTATCAGGAAGTACTGACGTGATCCCTGCCCCCATGTGGCGTATGGTCTGTTGCACTGATTCTCAACCTTGACTGGGGACAAATTGAATCACCTGAGGAACTTTTAAAACAAATTCATGGTCAGGTTCCATTGCAAACCAGTTAAGTAAGAATCTTTGTGGGGTGGAGACCTTGAATTGTTTTGAGTTTGCCATGTGCAGCCAGCATTGAGAAAATGGGACTAGCAGTATAAAAACAGTCAATAATTAAGTCAAATGATTATAATTGTGGTAAGTGCTTTGAAGGATGAAACACATATTATCAATGTCAAGGGAGAGACCTTCTTTCGGTGGCATGGTCAGGAGAGGTCTTTCTAAGGAGAGGACATTTCTGCAGAGACTTGAGGATGAGAAAAGGAGTTAGGTAGGTGAGTTGCTGAGAAAAGTTTTCCAGGCAGACAAAAGAGCAAGTGCAAAGGCCCTGCAGTAGGAAGGGCCTCGTGTATTCAGACACCTGATAGAAGACCAGTGTGGCTGAAGCATCGCTTGAGAGGGGGCTTGAGGGGAAAGTTGCATGAGGTTAAGTTTATAAACATTAGAAACGCATGAAATATTTGGATTTTATTCTAAACGTGGTTGAGAACCTATTGTAGAAATTTCACAAAGTTTTATGCTGTAATTTATATTTTTGAAAACATCTCTCTGGCTGCCAGGAGGCGAATGGATTCAAAGCCTTTCAGGGCTCTGCAGTTTCTCTGTGCCTGGCCGTCCTATGTGCCTTGTGCGCACCTCGGCTAGCCAGCTTCCTCTTTGATTTACTGACGTCCACAGTGGCTGCCCTTGCCCTCGTTTCCTTCATGTCATTCCCCCTCGACTCCCACAGTTAGGAAGGGAGTTTGATGGTCTCATTCTGTCTTTGAGCCACTTTGGAGATGCCTGTCCAGCCTGTGGATGAGATTCCATGGGGCCGTTTTAGGATTAAATGAGTTAACGCCTGTAAAGTGCTGAGGACAGTACGTGGCACACTTAGTAAGTGTCCAATAAATGTCACTTGTGATTAGTCACGAGTGATTGAAGAATGAGTGAACAAACACAGGAACAGCACTGGGACACGAAAAGGCTTGCGGACAGGAAGCAGTCTGGGAGTTCGGGAGAGTGAGGGCGACCTTGCCTCCGGAGGCAGCCGGGAATGATGCGTGCTGAGAGCGGCTGTGGAAGCAGGTTCCTTTTTGCTCTGTGAGTCCCTCTGCTTATTAGCAAATGACGGCTCACAGAATTAAATGGCTTCATGGCTAGTGGTTTCCTGGAGATGCACAGCCTCCGGGACACCTGTACAGAAACTCAGAGAATTTGCTGACCGTAACAGGTAACAAAGACCAAACGGGATAAGGAGGACAAGCACAGAGCTTCTGGCTCCAGCTGGGTCCTTGCCCTGCTGTGTCATCTCAGGAGAGGTCTTTCCTTCCCGTGGCCTCACTTTTCTCAAGATACTATGTAAGCATCTATTAGAATCACGTGCCAGCCTCTTGTGGGGCTGGGGCTACGTAACCCTGTTCCTGCCTTCAAGGAATATGTAGTGTATTCAGAGTTCAGACCATGTATTCGTTTTCCGTTGTTGTGCAGTAAATCACCACGGACTTGGCAGCTTTAGAAACACATTTTTTTTTTTTTTACTTTGACAGCGTCTGGGTCAGGAGTCTGGATGTGTTAGCAGGTTCTCTGCTTGCGGTCCGAGGCCTGAAATCCAGGTGTTGGCTGGGCTGCAGTCTCGTCTCGGAGTCAGAGTGCACGTCTAAGCTCATTCAGGCTTTGGCAGGATTCAGCTCCAGGACCGAGGTCCCCGTTTCCTTGCTGGCTGTTAGGTGGGGTCCTTCTGAGCTCCTGGGGGCCACCCTCAGGTCTTAGCCGTGTGGCCCTCTGAGCATAGCAGCTTACTTCTTCAAAGCCAGCAGGAGAATCTCTCCAGTCTGTTAGTCACAGGAGTAATATCCCATCGTATTCCCAGGTTCCGCTCACACACAAGAGAGGGGTGCTACAGGGTGATACACCAGGGCAGGGGCAGGAGTCTTGGGGCCAGCTTAGAAGTCTGGCGGGCACAGGCAGGGAACAGGTTCTGACCACAGAGGGATGCTCCAGGAGGAGCCCGCCTCCTGGCCGGGGCAGAGAAAGGAAGAGAGAGCACATGTCCCTGAGGGAGGCTGAGTGGACTGACAGTAGAAGGCTCGTAGGCAGAGAAGGAGCCCCCTGCCAGCCCCCAGGTAGAGCGTGCAGCATATCCACAGGATGGAGAGGATGCCAGGTCCTCTGGGGCACACACGGTTAGAGCTTAGGTGCTTGTGCTCAGGGTGAGGGTGAGGAGAGCAAAAGATCTCGGCCAGGTAGGCAGGGCTTGGGGAAACCAGGAGAGGTGGGCAGCCCTTCCAGCTCAAACCTGCCAGGCTCCCAGTGAGGCTCCATGAGGGACTGGCCTAGACCAGTGTCCCAAGTCACCCCTCCCCTTCCTTATCAGCCTGGGTGTACACACCCTTCCCCGCCAAGCACAACAGCAAGTCACCCGCCATAACAGTCGCTCTTCACGTTTATTTTCCCTTCTCCTCTTTGCCATTTAAAATGAAAACAAAACCTAATCCTTAATATTCGTGCTGCATGATGGTCTAGATGGGTCTTCTGTTCTCTAGGCAGCATAAATGTATCTCAGTCCCCTCAGACGAGGCACCTGAAGTCCAGATACTATGATCTGGCCAGGTGAGTGAGTTCCAGGTGATCCCAGGTTCCCATCAGAGCATCCTGGTTTTCCTTGGTCACGTTCACGACTGCTATTCATACATTCAGCTTGTCACCAAGATATTCTTCATCAAGATCAGTAGCCAGTGGTCACCTGCAAACTCAGGTGAAGATGTGAGAATCTCTGGGAAAGCCCTGGGACATATTTACATTCAGTCAGTACTTGCTAGGTCTGTGTTCTCTGACCACAGCATCTGCACATGGTAGGTATTTAGGAGAGAGAAAGTGATGTAGGGGGGAAAAAAAGAGAGGAAGACTTGGGTTCGAAGTCGAGTTGCACCACTTCCTAACCGTGTGAATTTGGGCAAGTTATTCAGGCTGTTTGAGCCTCACTCGACTTACCTATGAAGTGGCAGTAATATCGTCAAGTTCACAGATTTTTGTCTGGGTTTTATAAAGTGAGACGCTGCAAAGTGCCCAGTGATTAGCAAGTGGGCACGAATGTTAGCACACTTTCCTTAATGTTTTTCACCTTTATGCTGGCTATGGCATTTGCTAGCCGGAATTTACAAACAATTAGAAGACAAACATTTTTAATTATTAACAACTCAAATCCATCCTTACGTATACGCTTGTTATTAACAAAAGAATACAGACAGGACAGAGCCCCTCTTTCTGTGGCCAGCCCGAAGCATCCAGCCTGGGCTGCAGGAAACCCGGCAGGACCTCCCCTCCCAGCCGGCTTGAAAGAAAGCCCGGGCACCTCTCACATCTGCTGCAAACACTAACCTCAGACGCCTTCCCTTCAGAGCACACACATCCCCCAGCACGGCAGGCGTGCGATCCCCTGACACGCTGTGACAAGTAGTGCCATCCAGACAATACCTCAGAGAACCCAAGGAATTCCACACCCTAGCAAGAGACACTTAGCGGGACATAATCAAAAATTCTAAAGCAGCCTCACAGGTGGATGAAGACGGCAGAAATTCCTCCTTCCACGCCGCCATCCCACATATCCAATTATGATGCTGCAGGCTGACTGGTGCCTGCTGGATTGATTTTTAATTGAAGATACATTTCGGGTGTGTTTGTAAACCTTTGAGTCAGAAGTAGGCCCTACGTGAGTGCCACAACGAATTAGGGGAGGCAGCGTGCAGGCTCCCGTGCCCAGCTCCCTCTAGAATTCCGTTCAGAAAGAATGAACGTTGCCTGCTGCAGCTGTGGAGCTGGGAGGGCTGCTCCTCACACAGGCGCTCGCTCAGGAAGCTTCCCTCCCATCCCAGCAGCGGACGAGAATGGTTGAAAGGACAAAGCGGGCTGGCTAGGAGGCATCCTGATCGCGGCATCCCTGCCACCTGGCCGGGAGACGCTTGCTCGGTTTCCTGCTCCTTGAATGAAGTCCTTGAAGTACCAGCTACAGTTCCAGGGAATCGTGTGGCTGACGGGCCTTCTCTCTGTTTTCTGCAAGTGGGGGAAAGAGAACGTGAGCTGAGCTAATGGGGTCCCATCCTGTAGGTCCCATCCCTCCGCCGGCAGCACAGCATCTTCTGGGAGTTTGTTAGAACACAGATGCACGGACCCCATCCCAGGCCTGCCGAACAGGAATCTCTACAGTGGGTCCCAGGGATCTGTGTTGTAATAAGCCTCCCAGGTGATCCTGAGCCAGCTGAAGCTGGGAAGGCATCGTTCTAGAGAGTGAAAGTTACTCCTTTCCCCATGCAACAGCCAGGGTGCTCTTAATCTGGTCACATCATGCTTTCTCAGTGCCTTCAGAACAGTATTCGAGCTGTCCACCGTGACCTTGAAGGCCCCATATGACCCGGCACCTGCCCAGCCCCCAAAGCCTCTCCTTCTGCCCCGCACTTGCCTATGTGCCATCCACACTGGTCCTGCTTCCTTTTTCTTGAGCGTGCTAAACTCTGTATCCCAAGGGCTCTTCCCTCTTCTTGGAAAGCTTTCCACCCAGGCTTTCTCAAGGCCAGTCCTTCTCATTCTCCGGGGCTCACACTGACCTCTCCTGCAGGCCTGCCCTCACCGTCCCTCTTTATCCTGTTTCCTGTTCTGTTGCCCCTCTGACCCTCAGTTCACTCTGAACTTACCTTGGTTGGTTTATTTCTTCTCTCCAGAAGTGCAGGAACCTTGTCTTGCTCGTTCATTCTGGGGACAATGCCTGCACACTGCACATACTCACAGGATATTTGCTGGAGGACCACGTGTTCCAAAGGGAGGAGTTGAACGTGAGGAGGAAACCACAGCTGTCATGTACGAGTGCTGCTGCACATCCAGCCCTGTGACAGACACTTGAGAGTCATGAGTAAGCAGGCTGTTCACACAGCGGCGCTCGCAAGGTTCCGAGAGCAGCTCCGGGCAAGCCCCACCACACAAGCACTTTTCAGCGCCCCTGCCTGTGTCATGTTGCCAATGCCCCATGGCCCAAAGCATGTCCCATGGCCAGCCGAGAATCAGTGTGGCAGAGGGTATTACCAAAAGGTGTAGATGGATAGCGGGAGAGGAATTTGTAGCCATTTTGTCGTCGACAAAGGTATTATTATCCCCTCTATGCATATGTGGAAGTGGAAGCTCAAAGAACTATTGTCACTTGCCCAGAGATACTGACACAGGTCAGAGTTCAAACCCAGTTCTGCCTGAGCCCAGAACCCACAGTTGCCCTCTGTACCCTGCAGCCTGCCTTGCCCTGTGTACCAGATTGGAGTTGTCTGCCTTGTAGGGAGTGGGTTCCCCATTCCAGCAGAGACTGAGTGGCCACCTGCCCAGGCTGCTTGGCCAGCTGACATTCTAGAATTCCTTCCAACCCCAGTCTTTTAGGTTTCGAATCAGCCATCTCCCTGCCTGCTCCCTTTCACCTACACAGACTGTCTGGGGCTTCCTGTCTCAGTAGGCCTCCCTGGGGGAAGCCCTGCTTCTTTCTAGGTCTTGCAGACAGTATCTCTGGCCGTTCCTGAGCCTTTGCCGTCCTCTTCCCGGCATGAAGCGATGGCGGGCTCTGTGGGGGAGGGGAGAGAGCACGGGACAGGGGGTCCTCGCGTCAGCCCTTCCTCTTGTACACGGTGTCCTCTTCAGCAGGTCGTGCTCCTCTCTGAGGCTGAGGCCTTTCATCATAACAATGTTATAATCAGACTAAAAATCTCAAAGATTCTTTCCAAACGGGTAGGAATTACCCATTTTTTGAATTAATCTTTGTCTCTTGAAACACTCTCCGTGGGCCCAGGTCCTTGCTGCGCCAGAGCCTTTGTCTTCCTACGTTAAGACACCAAAGAAAGACTCGGCACAAAACTCAACAGGAACTGCACAGGGACAGACCTTAGGGAATAGGCGTGGAGAGAAACAACCAGGAGAAGGATAGAGAGACTGGGGGATCTTGGACTCCAAGAGAGACCAAGGAGAAGGAGGAAGGACTAGAGGGAAGCTGACACCAAGGTCGGAACACATTCCTTTTGGGGAAACGGGATGAGAAGATATCTGGGGACATCTTTCTCAGCCAAAAGCCAGTTCGTGTTGAGCAGTGGTCTGGATCCCTGGCACTGGGGTCAGACCTGGGTGCGAATCCAGCCCCTCCTCTTTGTAGCTGTGTGACTTGAAAGAAGTCATTTCACCTCCTGGAGCTTCCTCACCTGTAAAACAGTGATTGAGAATCTCCACTATGTTTATAGCATTACTGTAAACGTTACAAATTTACATTTACATTTTGGACAACAGCCAAAATGTGTTGGCACACTGTGAGCAACAGATACATGGTAGAGACTTATTGTATCGTGATCACACTTTACGTATCATCATCATTACGATGAACTCGCTCAGTTTGTCTGTTTGACTGTTGTTCGGGTCCTGGCAGAGAGCTTGGTTTTAAGGGAAAAGAGAGACTGGAGCTAGTGGCAGAGAGACAGAAGTGATGGCGCCATGATGCGTTTTCACTCGGTGAGTTTCTTTGGAACATCTGGCACCATTTCCTGTAGAGTCTGCATGGATATGATGTTTGTCACATCGGCAGCCCCTTTCTCCTGAGAACCCTAAGTATTTTGTGTCTCTGTTTTCACTCTAAACTTTTCAGAGGTGGGAAGACGGGGCTGGACCAGGCAGGGCTTGCTCCCTGCTCGGGAAACTCGGACACAGAGTCCAAAACCAGGTCAGTGGGAGGATCCACAGCAGAAGCTGGTCTCTCTTCACACTCGGTCAGACATGCCTCCCGCATCCACTCCCTTTAACGCTGACGTCCACATAGTAGAAATTACCCTTGCCCTGTACTCCCCAAATCTTCAAGGATTGGTACAAACATCGCTCCCATCCAAGTGCAGAGTCCTCCCATTTTGCAGACAGTGCAACTGAGGTGCAGGTGGGATAATTCAAACTCCCAGATTCTCAAGAGCCCAGCAGAAACCAGGGCCCTTGTAGCAGAGGCCGAACACAAATTTCAGTGAAATCAAGCATTGTGGAGAATGTAGTGCCTCTTTCAAAACTGGCTGGGGTCAGTTTGATTAACAAAATGCTATAAAGTATGAGAAATGGAGGGCATTGTACCCTGATGAATATCTTAATCCTCCTTAGTGAAAGAGGAAGCAAATCCAGGAAATACCAGTTCACAGAATTAACTGAGAGGAAACTGAAAGTCCATCAGGAAAGCCATTGACACAAGATAGGTGTGCCCATTTTCTTTTGTTTAGAAGCATGGAAATGCATGGAATCTATTTCCTGGTAATTGTCCGAATGAAGTGGCCATTCTGACCAGGAGCCTACTTGATTATGTACCTCTTGCTGGGTAGGGAAAATTGAAATAGGCTTTTGCTGTTTCTTAACCATAGATTTTATGTACCAGGCACTTCTAATGCTTCTGGGCGGTGGGGGGAGGGGACATTTTTATAGATTTCGCCTCAGACATTTTTGCAGAACCCTCTTGGTTGGGAGCATCTTTCGTTTTTTTCTCTGGGCTCTGTTCCCACCCCACCCTCACTCTCTCTGGCTCAGCGCCTCTCGGGTAGCCTTGCAAAATTGCCTGGTGCCCTGGAGCAATAAGCGCTCTGAAAAATGAAGACACCGTCACCCCAGGCTCACTTTTGTCCCCAACATTCATATGTTTTTTTTTTCCTTGCCTTTGCCAGACACCCAAGAGTATTATCTTCTCACTGTCTTCAAAGTCCTATCCAGAAACCTAGCCACACACATTTGGTGCAAGTCCAAGAACCAAAGCTGGCTGGACGTCTAGAGCCTCAATTCCTTCATCAGGAAAATGGGGGAAATGACAGATGGGGCACAGGGCTTGGGGGAGAATTCTGGGAAGTGTCTGGTGCATAGTAATGAGTCAGTGATTGTGGTTATTATTACTCTTGTTTTTACTGGTTGTTTTAATGCTCCTTGTAACTCAGTTTGGCTAAATCTCCTATGGCTCGTCCCTGCTTCAGGAGAGTGGGAGGGCTGCTGTACATCTTTGCTGAGGGAGAAGGAAAGGTATAGGAGTTTTAAGCTGGAAAGGGATCTTTACATCATTAACTGTATTTTTTCCCACCCACTGTTGAAAAGAGGAGTCTGAAAAGAAAAAGCTTAGTATAGTGGGATGTGACTCTCTCCATATCACCCCTCTGGGTGGAAGCATTCAAACACTAGACACAAAAAGGTGAGTGGTATTGTGCCCATTTTACAGATAAAGGAACCGAGGTTTGGTTATTGGCCTCCATCACACAGTGATTAACATTTAGAGCAGGGGTTTGGATTTGGAGCTGACTGACCAACTGTGGATGGAGATGGAGTTCCCCAGCCCCAGGCTAGCGGACAGGACGATGCGCGCGGATACGCAGATGACACCTGTAGATGCAGATGAGGCCCGCGCATGCGCGGATGGGTCAGGTGTCCCGTCTCTTGCAGGCTCCAGATGCTCGAGGCCATCTGCAAGCACTGGGAGGGGCCCATCAGCCTGGCCCTCTACCTGTCGGACGCTGAGGCCCAGCAGTTCCTCCGCTACGCACAGGGCTCGGAGGTGCTCATGGGCCGCCACAACGTGGCCTACCACATCGTGTACAAGGAGGGCCAGTTCTACCCCGTGAACCTGCTGCGCAACGTGGCCATGAAGCACGTGGGCACGCCCTACATGTTCCTGTCCGACATCGACTTCCTGCCCATGTACGGACTCTATGAGTACCTCAGGTGAGGACCCGTGGGGCTCAGGCGCGGGCAGTCCGGGGCCAAAACCCCCCTTAGGATCGTCGTCTAGTCCAGTGTTCCCTCTGTCAATGGGTCAGCCAAGACCCAGAAGGGGAGAGCACCTGCCCAAGTCCACCCATAGATAAATGGCCCCTGACTGCCGGGTTTGGAGGGGCGGTTAGGCTATCAAGTGTCTGTATTTTTACGATGATCAGACTAGAACCCCAGGTGGCCTCATGAAATGTTTATGGCAGAGCTTGGTCCAGGAAGCATCTCCTGTCTCCCAGTCTAATGCTCTTCCTATAGCTTTTATGAAAACATATCATTCCTCTTGCAATTTTGGATCAGACAGCCTTCATCTAAACATTCTAGAAAGATCACTGCCTTTTCTGGAAAACAAATCAAAGCGGTGGTGATGGCGAACATTTATTGAAGCGCTCGCTGAGTGTCAGGCACTGTTCTGAATGCATGGCAAGTGGGATTTCATTTCCTCCCCTTGCGGAGTCCCTGCCACGGGTACTATTATCATTCTTTATGTTCCCAGCGGGAGACTGGGAGCGAGATGGGGAGCTCACACTAAAGTGGGAGCTGGGGTCAGCCGGCCTGACTCTCTGTGACTGCATCCAGCTCTCCCCATGGCGGGGAGGGGGGCAGGCAGGCATCCAGCAGCCGGGGAGAGCTCTCAGCTTGTTGCGTTTATTATGGAATAACAAACCATCTGAACTGGAAGGGACTATGGAATTCACCTAGGCCAAAAGTCCCCACGTGAGCAAACTAAAGTCACAAGATGTAAATGGTCAAAATTCGTTTTAATCCTTTATCACTGTCGTTTGTCAACATGAGTTATCTCTGCTGCCAAGTGAGTACCTTCCTGATCCAGGTACCATGAGGGGTGGTTTGCATATTAATTGTCCTGCTGGAGCCACGCTTCAAGCCCAAAAGGCAGGCATGGTTACCCCCTCCCTTTTATTGTGGTGAACGGTGAGGCTCAGAGAAGCAAAGTAACATGCTCAGGTGCACCTAGGCGGCTCCGGGATTTGAACCAGTATCTGTGGGACCCCAGGTCTGCAGCCTGCCCTGCTTCATACTTGTCTGGCTGCTCTGGGGTCTATGACTGTCCCAAACAGAGCAGGGTCTGAATTCTCTCTCTCCTGGTCTCTTGCCCTCCCCCACTTCCCTCCCTGTGTGTGTGTGTGTGTGTGTGTGTGTGTGTGTGTGTGCACGTGCGTGCCTGTCTCTGTCTCTGTCTGTCTCACTCTCAAAAGAGCTCCCACAAGAGTCTTCAAACCTTTGGTACTAAAGCCAGAGCACGGATGTGATACGAGCTCCCCCCCTGCCCTGCTCTCTAGATCAAGGGAAGGCAGACTGTTCTCTGTCCACTGAATCAGGTTTCCTTCCAGGGTTATCTTGGGATGCCATAGCATCAATCTCTCCCCTCTGAGCAGGTGGAGTCCCTTCCAGACTGTCTTTATTAAGAACAACAGGTGATGAGAAAACCGTAATCAAAGAGTCATGCACCACAATGTTCATTGCAGCTGTATTTACAGTAGCCAGGACATGGAAGCAAACTAAGTGTCCACTGACAGATGAATGGATAAAGAAGATGTGGCACATATATACAATGGAATATTAGCCCTAAAAAGAAACGAAATTGAGTTATTTGTAGTGAGGTGGATGGACCTAGAGTCTATCATACAAAGTAAGTCAGAAAGAGAAAAACAAATACTGTATGCTAACACATATATATGGAATCTAAAAAAACAAAAACGATTCTTATGAACCTAGGGGCAGGACAGGAATGAAGACGCAGACGTTAGAGAATGGACTTGAGGACACGGGGAGGTGCAAGGGTAAGCTGGGACAAAGTGAGAGAGTGGCATGGACATATATCCACTACCAAATGTAAAATAGATAGCTAGTGGGAAGCAGCCGCATAGCACAGGGAGATCAGCTCGGTGCTTTGTGACCACCTAGAGGGGTGGGATAGGGAGGGTGGGAGGGAGACACAAGAGGGAGGGGATATGGGGATATATGTATACGTACAGCTGCTTCACTTTGTTGTAAAGCAGAAACTAACACACCATTGTAAAGCAATTATACTCCAATAAAGATGTTTAACAACAACAACAACAGGTGAGTGACCCCGAGTCAACATAACCCTCAGTCAGGGAGGATGAGAGGTGTCTTCCCAAAAAGCATTGGCTGTGGTAGGGAGCTCTGTGAACCCTAACTCCTGACCCTGCAGGGACGCCAGGAATGGAGCTGTCTTCCAGCTCCAGCTGGGCCTTGGGATACCAGTGTTTGGAGTGAGGGCGCCCCCGTGTGGCCAGACAGCACATTCAGCCCCTGATTCCTGTGAATTGTGAAACCTCTGCAGCTTGCAGCATGATGACAGGCTCTGGGTGTGTCGGGCGGGGCTTTCAAGGGAACAGACGGTAGGGGTGAGGGCTGCCCTCCCCCCAGCAAGAGAGAGGCTTCGCTATTGGACCACAGCCCACCTTCTGGGGCTCTACTGCGGGAGCACCCGCAGAGACTTCCTTCCAGCTAGTTGAAGGTGAACTGGCCCCATCTTAAAAGTCTGTGGTCTCTGCTCCCCCATCCAAAGACTATATAATTTTGTCTCGTGGGCCTCGTGATTTGAAAAACATTACACGTGAACAGACTGCGTTTTATGTCGTCTTCCTATGTTTTATTGATCAAAGACGTCAGTAACTGCTAATCATGACCTTACCCAATGTGAGATAACTGGTACTGCCCATTAATTAACATTTCCTTACTACACAGTCACCTGAAGCTTGAGTTGGCCTTTAGCCACCTCCTCACCAGAAGGTATGTGGTTCCCCTCCCGCATTTGGAAATATTGCAGATTGCCCCTGAAACCCCATTCCTTTCTTCACAGGCCCTATGGGAGTCCAGAGACCCTGAGTTGAGAATAACTGATCTTGTCCAGTGTTTTTTTTACTGCACATGTGAAAACAGACCAGCAAAGCAAAGCGACTTCCGTCTAGAGTGAAAAGATAGTGGGACTTTCCGGATTCTTTCTTCTCCATCCGTAGTATATCCATTCGTTTAGTGAGTAACCGTTTACGAGGCGCCTTAGGGGCCCCCCTATCTGTGAACCACACAGATAGGATCTGTGAATCCCAGAGGTTTAGACCAACAGGCATGACAGTTGAGCAAAGATGCAGACTCCTTAGGTACTGTGATGGGTGTGTCCTCTCCCAGGGTTTTCAGCCTCATCTGGGGGGCAGGCAGTATAGGAAAAGATGTCCTGAAGAGGTTAGATCTAAATGGAGGCCTGAGGCTGAGCTGGAGTTTGCCAGGAGAGGGGACGATGTTCCAGGTAGAGAGAGAGATCCATTCTGGAGAGGCAGGTGGCCAGAGCCCCGATGGGGAGAACAGCAAGAGATGATGTGGCCAGAAATGTAAGCCAGGGTGGGTCCCTCAGGACTTCTCATAAAGTACGCTAAGGAGTTTGGGCTTTATGAGGCGGGGTGTGGGGGGTGGGTAATGGAAGATCCCTGAGAGAATGGCATGATTAGGTGTGCATTTAAGGAAGATCACTCTCGTTGCAGCAGGGAAGGATCACAGTCAGTAGGGCCAGAGGAGATAAGTTAGGGGACTCTTGTGTTCATTCTGGTGAGAGATGTTGGAGGCCTAGCAAAGGGATCAGAAGTAGCGGCAGAGACAGGTAGATGGACCAGAGAGAGATTCTGCAGCTGAAATCAGTAACTGTCTGCAAAGGTGGCTGGGCTTTGGAAGCAAGACAGGGAACCTCTTTCAAATGTTGTCACCTGAGGCTTCCTTTTCAAAAGCCTGTACCTGGAAGTCCTGCCTGCTTTGACCTGTGTCTCGTGCTGGCCCCCTCTTGGTCTGCTGTGCCCACGTCCTTCCCGGACTAAGCAGGATATCATGGCGTTGACTCTTGAGTGTCATGGTGGACAGGCACCTGCTGCGACCCTGGTTCCAGCTCGCACTCTGTGCCGTAAAAAACTGTGTGACTTCCAACAATTCTGATTTTTTCAACCTGTTTCTTTATATTTTTCAAGAGGAGCTAGAAATCTGTATTTTCATGTTTTAATTTTTAGTGTTGACAACTAATTTTTTAAAAAATGTAAACACTGTTGAGTCAGACCAAACATGTCTTCAGGATGAATAGAACCTTCTCATCCCCACAGACCACCAGTTTGTGACCTCTGACCTTTTTTAAAAAAATTTTATTGGAGTATAGTTGATTTATAATGTTGTGTTACTTTCTGGTGTACAGCAAAGTGATTCAGTTATACATATACATATATTCATTCTTTTTTAGATTCTTTTCTCATATAGGTTATCACAGAATATTGGGTAGAGTTGCCAGTGCTATACAGTAGGTCCCTGTTGGTCATAGTAGTGTGTGTGTTCATCCCAAGCTCCTGATTTATCCTCCCCCCCCACCTTTCCCCTTTGGTAACCATAAGTTTGTTTTTGATGTCTGTAAGTCTGCTTCTCTTTTGTAAATAAGTTCATTTGTATCTCTTTTTTTCATTAGATTCCACATATAAGTGATAACATATGGTATTTGCCTTTCTCTGGCTTATTTCATGTAGTATGATCATCTCTAGGTCCATGCATGTTGCTGCAAATGGCATTATTCCATTCTTTTTTATGACTGAGTAATATTCCATTATATACATGTACCACATCTTTATCCATTCCTCTGTCGATGGACATTTAGGTTGCTTCCATGTCTTGACTATTGTAAATAGTGCTGCAGTGAAAATTGAGGTGCATGTATCCTTTCAGACTATGGTTTTCTCCAGATATATGCCCTGCCCAGGAGTGGGACTGCCAGATCATGTGGTAGTTCTATTTTTAGTTTTTTAAGGAACCTCCGTCCTGTTCTCCATAGTGGCTGTATCAGTTTACATTCCCACCAACAGTGCAAGAGGGTTCTCTTCTCCACACCGTCTCCAGCATTTATTGTTTGTAGACTTTTTGATGATGGCCATTCTGACCGTTAT